GTAATGCTCCAGAAAGAGACCGCTGAACGGGATCGGGAGAGGGCCGATCCCGAACGTAGAAGACGTTGGCGGCGATATCAGCCATCGACGGGGCCGCGGGCCGCCAGAGAGTGGGGACCTCTGGTGGCAGATTGATTGCTGCGGTAGGGAATGGAATGGCCGGCCTGATTGCATTGAGATGCGATCGGGCCGCCATGCCGTGATTGAAGGGGGAAGTGTTCTACCCTGGGATAGGGCCTGATTAGGCATGGTGTCAATTCGGGGAGGACCTGAAATAACATGGTCCGGGTCCTCCCCAGAGTAGGACACCTAAGGCCGGCCGTCGGGGTCCGTGGGTTCGATACCCACCCACGACAAATATTGTGTGATGAGCACGATCATTTCTTCTATGTCTGGGTGTAATTTATCTATAATATGTATGTAATTAAAAATACATATATAAGTTTGTTTATCAGCAGATTGGTTACTCTGCTAGTTTGGGATCAGACGGCCGTGTGTGAGATGTGTGAAGTTATTATTATTAGATAAAATGATAGTAATCATCCAAGTTGAGGGTTAGACACTGCTTAGGCGCCCCAAATAATAATGTTCCGCCCTTTATTTGTAAGTAAGCGATGTGAATAAATTATAGTCTTCAGTTCCTTCCTGAACCTCAAATAATTCGGTAATATACTTTAACAAATCAACTAGTTTATATGCTTCTACCCTCCTTTTATTATTTCTCGGGAACAATCTTTTATTATAATGTGATATTGTTATAATTTCAGCATTCCAACGTGTACCGGTCTCGTTCAAATGGCACATCCAGTGATGAGGCCAGGGCACGGGAACGAGATCCGCTGCATCGGTCACACACCAACCTGGATCTTAGGCATAGTGATAGTATGTATACGCACCTCAAATTTTCATCCTCATCACCTGGATAGTTGGCGCTCCACTATGTGCGCTTTCCGAGACACTTTTTACTCCGCACAATCAATCTGTGGAATGGGTTATCGTCTGCGGTATTTCCGGACTGATACGACCTTTAAACCTTCAAGAAAAGAGCGTACTCCTTCTTGAAAGGCCGGCAACGCGTTTGTGACTTATAAGTTGCAGACGTTCTTGGGCGGCGATGATCACTTTCCATCAGGTGACCCGTCTGCTCGTCTGCCTCCTCTAACATAAAAAAAACCTAATTTATTTCTAAACAGGCATAGACTGATTAATTTCCCATAAAATTATAAGCAAAAATACACTCTATCGAAAACTGTTCATGTTTAATAAATCATATTTTTATGTTTTGAGACCTGATTGCGATACTAATATTTCATTCCAGGTAGCAATAGCGTCGGTAAACGTTTTGATTCAGAACCAGATTTAAGAATAGAAGAAGAAGAACAAAAAGGCAAGACATGCAACAGACATTTCCGAAAAAAATATAGGGCACCACCACCCCCACCATCGACACACGACGTGAGTATTCGAGGGTTACTTGAATTATGAAAGTTGAAGAATTTTGTAAAAACAAAACTAAAATCTTTCAGAACTTCGAGGGTTCGTCGCCAGATTCCAGCGAAGGGAACGCGAGACCTGAACCACAACGGAAGATAAGACTCTTTAAAACGAGAAACGAAACCAAAAAGCTGAATGACCAAGAAAACTTGAATTTCAGGAGTTCGTACCACGAATACAAGTCCCTCGATCTGAATGATAATCAGTTCGAGAGGAGATATATGTCCCCTTGCAAGGATAAGGAGAAATATTTTAAATACCCTGACCAAAATGACATGGTTCAGAGTAGTTCGTCTCTCAAGAGAGAAGAAAGACTTCTACAAATGAAAGACTATCAAAAGACGAGAATCGAAAGGATGAGTGGTTGTCGAGCAAAAACAACCAAGAACGAACACAGTGAAGCATGGAAAACTCCACTTTTAAACAGAAATTTCAGGTACTCTGAAAGATTCAGGAAAGAAGACTGTGAATTACCACCTTTAAGAAGAGAAAAGACTTTCGATGTAACTCTCATGGCGAGTGAAAAGGAGAATGACTCGTCCCGAATAGCCAATGAAAGCAGAACAAAGGTCATAGGCGAGCAGCTCAAAATTAACAAACTAAGTCCTTTGGCTGAAACCAGTAAGCCATTGAGAAAATCTCTTCCTTCACTATTAGGTAAGAATAATGAAGAAAAAGATGAATTTCAAGCTGAATTGAAAAAGGCTACGAGTAAGATTAGAAACCAATTAGGAAGTAAAATTAATGATAGTGAAACTAAAACTAGTCAAGACAAAACGAATGAACAAAAAACCCCAACGAAAATACCAAGCAAAGTCAAAAAGTCTAGTCTATCGACGGTTGCTAACACAGAGCCAAAAGTCATTGCAAGTAGAAAACCTTTAAGTAGAGCTAATGAAGATAAAACAAGACAGACTAATGTGAATTCTAATCCAAAAATACTGGACCATAAGCTAAAATTCAACAGCAAAGAGAATGGAAGACGTTTACCGGACAGAGGTCAGGCTTCAGGGAAAGAGTCTACTCCTGAACATTCGCCAACTAGGAAGCTAGATAGTTTAACAAATCAAGCTACACAAGAGAAGTAAGCACTTTTTAATTGTATTTTATTAAACTAATCTTTATCTTATCTGTTTTCATCTTTATCTATTCTTCCATTTAAACTTCAAAATATTTATTTTAAATTTTTAAAAGTAATTTTTATTACAAAATTTAATAAGAACGTACTTAGTATAATTAAATACGTACATCACATACATTTAACTTACAAATTTTCGGTCCATGGTCGGTACCAACCTCAAGACGTCTTTCCTTCTTTGTGACGAAAACATTCAAGCGGATTCGATTTACCACTGATGAACCGCATGCCCATTTCAGATGCGGTATGGTGCTCTATGTAGTTTTAGTCGGTTAAACTCGCAATACATCGGCTTAACCAATAGTCCTAGTGAGGTGTCAGCTATACCGGTCTTACCCATATTGTATTTAGACTTATATGGAAATATTTTTTCTAGGCAAAAACAACAACCTCCATCGAAGCAATTCTATTTTGGCATGATTGAAAGCAAACAAGCTAATACCAACAAACATCTGAAAGACTTCCCCGGACTAGGTAGCCCTATCATCGAGGAGATCTCCAACTTCCACTTAATTGAACAGAAGCTGCTCAACTATCAAGAGACCCATGACGAGGATGCTGAATTTGAGAAATTTAATGCCAAAATAAAGAAGGTTAAGAATAGTAAGTAGAACATAGTAAATTTTTTGTGTTTTTTTTTTTAATAAAGAAATACATTTTGTGTCTTTCTGAAAATTATTATTTCTGGCTTATTCCTTGGAATGATAATAATTAATTTGAAACTTCCTTAAAACTCTTTCGATTCGACTCTTTCTTTTCGCCTTTCGAGATTATAATGAAATGAAATGATATTTATTTCTGTATGTCTTTTCAGATATTTTTTACAAGTAAAATGTTATCGTTCTCATTCCAGTATCATCGGAATCAGCACTGTCTTCCGATGGCTCAGATGGTTCCTGGTCAGCAGGATCTTTAGGCATTGCATTCCGACTTCGCCCAACTTTACCAAAAAAACAGAGAACCGTGCCAAGATTTTCTCCTGCAGCTGCTTGGAAGCAGCTGGCTGCCCTGGATGATCATTTAGCTGCAGGTATTTTACCTTATTTTGGTTTCTGAGACTGGACTGTGATGCATTTTCTCATACATATTTAGTGGTTGTAAAGGTTGTAAAACATCTGGTTGCTAAGACAGGTATAACCACAAGTCATTTTGAACTCCTGTTCTTAATAAATTCAGGTTTAGGAAAATATGTTGACACTTCATTTAAAAGAGACAAGATAAAATTCTGTCAGCACGTTCGGACATAGATTCGGCAAAAGTCAGTCATAATATGTAATAAAACGAAGTTCATATAGCTCCTGAAAAGAATGTCATACTTGAAATAAATAAACATTTTTTATTTACAGAAACGCAACCTCTGGCAGTGGAAACAAAGATGTCTGGTCACATATCTGCAGAATCTTCTCCGAGGTCTGACCAGTCTGCCGACAAGTCCGGCGATTCTGGCATTTCTGGTGACAATGTGCATTCGGACCATAGGATAGACTCACCAAGACATCTTGTAGGTTTTGAAAATATTTACATATTATAATAAAATGTAATATTTGATTAACTGCCTCGATACTGCAAGTGGTAGTGTATGCGATTGCTGCTTTGAAGCTAGATGGCGTTGTGTCAGATGTTCGAAAATATTATTATTATAGTTTTTAAATACAAAAAGTTTTTATGGTCTTTCATGGACTATTGATAATTATTTATATACATGTGGTATTGGATTAAGAACACGAAGTGTCACCACCCCTATTCATCCCGTAGGTGTCGTAAGAACCGACTAAGGGAGGAGACTACGCAGGATAACAGCACTGCATAGAGAAGGAAAACTTAACACAAACTAGGCGAAAACCTCCTGTTTAAGGAGAGGCATATGTCCAGCAGTGGACTATTAAAAGCTGTTGATGAATTATTTATGAGAAAACACAGCACATTTTCTGTTACGAAGTGCAGAATAAATTAATTATTTATTGTTCTAAGCTTGGCTTGACTTTTTTCTTTCTTTTTCTATTAAGATTTTATTGGATACAGGTGCAAGATTCAGGGCCAGCCGCCTGGACACCTCAACAAGACTTAGGCGACAGTAGCTCCGAAGGTGCAGGCATTGGACTAACCCTTCACTCGTCACACCCATCAGGGAATGTAGCAACTTACAGCCCCGCCGCTCAACCCTTCAGCTTGTCACTACCAAGGGATGGACAAGAGCGAGTGAGTAACTAAGGGTTAACCGCGGGATGTTAGGTGAGATGTTAAGGTTGGGAGTACTGATGATGTAGTGGTGAAGGTTTGGTTTGGTGCATAACTTATAGCATGATAATAGTTTTTGTGACTAATAATTTGTTTTTGCGTTTGCAGACTTTAACAAAGATGGCCAAATTCAATGAGGCAGTCTACATGTGGGATGCATATTTAGCTAAGATTTCTTCATAATTTCATACCTCTAATTTTATGTGCCTTTAGTTTTAGTTTTAGAAATAAAAACTCAAGACTCAAACTCTCTTTACTTCATTAAATTTTCAATATTGTTTGAAATCGTCTTTTATGTAGACTCTAAAGTCATAGATCAATACACACAAAAGCAACAATCTCTGTTTTGTCAAATAGTAAGCAAATAAATTTAACAAAAATCAAACCCATACAAAATCTATGATATGCCTGTGCCGATCTATAACCGCCCGTTTCCAAGGGGTTGAGCCTTATGAGAAGAAAGTTCAAACAAACTCATGGCCACTCTTTTGCAATTCACAGATAGATGCAATGACACTATTAAATATAACTAAATAAATTACCAACAAAGTTATCTATCTATCATATGATACAGGGTCTACTAATTTCACTTTCTTATTTTTGTAAGTGACCGGTGATTGTGGTTCAACACTATCCCGGTCACATAATGTCGTCATCTGGGCTTCCAACCTATAAAGTAGTACTATTGTCTGATGTTATTTAACCTGGTGACTAATTATCTAACAGCACTAACGTCTGACCTAACCTCCCGAGACCGCTGACGAGGAGTAAAGGTACCTGTTCCTGCTTATATATTGGTGATGGTGTCTGTATCTAATATACCCGTTTAATGCTTCATGCTTGAATTGAAAACAGTCTAATAAATTGGAGTTTCGTTTAAAAATAAAGTGTTATATAATCCACAGGATAGCTCACCGCACAAACGTGATTAATTTCAATCTCTTTGACGCATATAAACTCAAACGCAATGTTCTTATAACTCCTGCATTAGGTCAGCTACAAGACGCAAAACTTACAAAGTTTCTTTTTGACACGACAACTATAAGTAGATTAAAATTGGCATACAAAATTTGTTGACATAGGTTCATACTTATGTTAATAAATTTTGGGTTGTTTGGACGCTTTTTTGTGGCTTAACTCATTTTATGCTATAACAAAGCGTTTTATAAATTCGTGTGTGCGTTTCAGTTCACTATATGACTGTATGATGATATTAAGACTAAACAGAAGACAGGAAATTCCCAGGCTTCAGTTTGTCCTACACGAAGACATCTTTCCATCTGAGCCCTACAGGAGCTTTTGACGTTTAAGATCCCACGGTTTATAGCCCCCAATATTTATATTTTTTTTTTTTTTTTTACCACATACACACAACGCCATCTAGTTCCAAACTAAGCAGAGCTTGTACTATGGGTACTAGACAACTGATATAAATACATATATACTTTTTTTTTGTAAATACATACATATTATACATAAATGCCTAAATTCTTTGAAAATTTCCGCCTAAATCCTGAATTATTGTCAAAATTTGACCCTTGCATTAATAATAATGTTTTCACACATCTCACATACGACCTACTCACGTACTATGGTAACCAGACTGCTGATAAACATACTTATATATTTCTAAATACAAACCTATTATAGATATGACCCACCCAGACACAGAACAAATGACCGTGCTCTTCACACAATATTTGTCCTGGGTAGGAATCGAACGAACGGCCTGTGACGTAACAGTCATGGTCACTAACCAGGCCAGTCAAATTGAGTAGCTACCAGTCTTGATAAATAAAAGAGTGCCAGCTTTTACTAAATAGATAAGGACGTTTATAGCTGCAGTTGAAGCCAATTTGAGCAAAAGTAAAATAGGCGAGCCTAGCATTTTGCGAACAGCTTGCAGTTTAAAAGCGTTCCTTCCAAAGCCCATCTGGGCTTCAAACAGAGCAAAACGCCATCCAGACATTCCAGCGGTCTATTAGATCTGTACGTATGGAACATAAAAGAGTATAGCGATAGATAATTTTCTGTCTTCTTTAAAGTAAAATATTTATAATACGGTACCTTTACACGGGGAAATTAATTTGTTGACTGTTTTTAATTTCAAAGTGCTATTGATTTAATAGCTATTGCTTATTAATTAAACAGATGCAAAAGGTAGCTTTGGTATTAATTGAATAATTACAAGATAATACTCTTAGTTAAACAATACGCATATCATATGACAAAGGTGTGTGTGGGCCTATAATTTTGCCTAAGAAAATCTATTCTTTCGCATTGACATTTAACCATTTCTTGGAATGAATTACGATGCTAGCTGGTCTGCATTTTTATTTTCTTGTTTTATATTTATGGATTTAATCTAAATGCACCAAATCTTCTGTCTTTATTAAAAAAAACTGTGTTCTTTTCGGCACATGTTTTCCTTATTTATATATCATCACAATCCTTTTTAACTTTTATATCAATTTTCTTTCTCTTTCTAATTCTTTACTCAGGAATACCTTGATTCCTCATCAGCTAGTATCCGTTAGGAAACCAACAAACTTCGCGTAGTTTAAAGCGATGTCGTGCTTTTACGAATGCTTCCAGGGCAAGCAAATCCAGCAAGGATTCAACAGCTTACAGAAACTCAGAAAATCAGTCTCAGGAGCTTTGGGAGCTGCTTTAGGATCACGGAGATTGGACGTGGAACATGAACCAATGTTGCAAGAGCAGGAACAGAATTGGTTTCTCACGAAGTCTGCTCCGAATTCCTTGAGCAATCCCCTAATATTTCAACAGCCCCGAGCTAAGGGTGCTGATGAGGATGTAATTAAGGAGGAGGAGTCACAATTTGGAGATAAGGTATGATTATAATTTTTCTTTCTTAAATGCTGTTTTAAATATTTAGAGATAAACTTCTCTTGCAATATAAAAATTGTTTTTTACCTTCCTTGATTTCCCACCGTTTCGGAGTGGAACGTTTAATCAAATTTTTAATCAAACTTTTATATAGTTTATATACCCGAAGTATACCCTTTTAAATATCGAAAAAGTGTTCTAAATTGATTCTCATTCTAATTCGTGAAAAAAATACAGCCGAAATGGAAACCTCTTTTATTTGAAGTCAGTTAGAAATTGTAATTTTTCGATGCAATTCCACTATTTCCCGGTCTCGACTTTTAAGGAGTGCTCCGGCGTATTTGGCAAATGATCATATGAGTGCATTTCTTCGATTATTGTTGTGTATTTACTGTCGGCTATTGTTTGTATAACAAAGGAATAAAACACACTAACAAGCACATTCTTGGTTTAATGAAGTGTCAGTTTAAATCAGTATCAAATATCCCTAAATAGACAGAAGAATTTGAAAGATTTTTTTAATTTAATGTAAGTTATCTAGAAATGGTTTTTCTGTATGTACATACACTGTTACATGTTCTGAAATAGGTTTTGCAAATTTAATTAATTACTGCTTTGTGCAGGGGGAACCTTGTCTATGGAGGCGAGGCACGTCATACTTATCGTGGGGCGGACACGTGATGTACCTGCCCCCCGCTGCAGACCAGCCTCTGTCTATGATTGGAGGCATCGAAAGACCTGTGAGGTTGGTATTCACACTTGGCTATACTAATTTAAGATCTTGATTATCATAATTAAGAGTTATCTAGTCTATTGGCAACTTCTTAGTTGTAAAGAATACTCTAAAGAATAAATACTAATTCCGGAGTTAAAGATAGAACGTTAAAGAGGAAGATCCATACATAACATAATGATAGCTGTTACTTAAAGTTTACAACTTTCATATTGATTCAAAATTTAATAAATGCAAATGCAAATAGCATGTAAGTAGAACAATTTAAGCACGAGCAGAGCGTACTCTTAGGACCCGTTTGTGCATTTTTTTGCTATAAGGGGGCAAACGAGCAGACGAGTTACCTGATAGCAAGCAACTACCGCCGCCCATGGACATCTGCAACTCAAAAGTCACAAGTGCGTCGCCGCCCTTGGAGTCCCTCCCGCTCGGGTCAGCGGGAGGGGGATTTGGGCTCCGGTAACCTCACTCACTCAGTGAAAGGCAACGAAAGAATTGCTTAACACCGGTTTTCTGTGAGGCCGTGGTATCACTCCGGTCGAGCCGGCCCATTCGTGCCGAAGCATAGCTCTCCCGATAGGATTATTGCAGCTAATATTATCCAAACTCATAGGAAAAGGTCTGACCATATAGTGAATGTTGATTCTCCCATGCAGGAGCAAATCAAGCGGTTGTCTGGAGGTGAGTGCGCGAGCGGCGCGGGCGGCGCGCGCAGCCCTTGGTGGTGAAATGCGTGAACGGGAACGCTCTGCATCACCCGCTATGTCATCATCGCTTGCGCGAGCGCTACCCGCCAAAGTGCTGCCCTCTACCGGGGTACGTATACCTTACTGATTATCATTATACTTATCAAATAGAAAAATAATGCTAAAACTGCTCGGATACTGCAACGGATTTCATTGTTCCATCCATCTACCAAGTAAGATAATAGAAGGGGTTGGTGAACATAATTTTTGTATTTAAACACTGGTCAATTTGTCGTCTCTTTAATACGTACGTACTACCTATAATGTGTAGAACTAAAATAATCACTGCCCGCCTGTCCGCAAAAACAAAAATTAGATAAAGACTAGCTGACCTGGCAAATGGGGTCACCCTTGTCATTTAGGGGTATGAAAAATAGATGTTGGCCAATTCTCAGACCTACCCGATGTGCACACAAAATTTCATAAAAATCGGTCCAGCCGTTTCGGAGGAGTATGGTAACTAACATTGTGACACGAGAATTTTATATATAAGATTATTAGATATAGATAGAGATAATAAAGAGTAGTTGCTGAATTATGACAACAAACTCAAATCAATTCAAAGCTGAATTGCATGCTTACAAAAATTACATTGAGCGTGATTCAAACTGGTGGTCACCGCTTACCTATCGAATGCTATTTTTTTTTTTTTTTTTTTTTTCCGTGCGGAAATCCCCTCGGATACCACCTGTCGGTGGCATGTCGGACTCGAACCGACTAAAACCGCACGCCTTCGCCGGGTACTAATAGCCGGGGAACCAGGTATACCCTAGAAAGGAAGGCCCAGGTGCCCCGACATACCTCGGGTCATCTACAGACGAGTAGACGACCCCCGCCCCGTGTGGGAACCCCATGTTCCCTGTGCTCCCTGGAAGCGAGCGCGCTTCGCAACGCGCTCGCCGCCACCCCGGCCTGCTTCTGCTAGGGTGACAGATGGCCTCACCTGTCACCCCCAGGCCTGCGCTTATGGAGGACGGAGGTCGTTCTGCGAATGCACATTGACCTGCATAATAGGCTGAATTATACTTTTTATAATAATAAAAACCAGAGAAACCCCAAATACGTTCGTCTAATTCCAAACTGGTAACAAGACAGCTGATTAACATACTTATATATTACCAAACACATGTTATATATAAAAAAAAAAATATTTTGTTACCACATTTACACAACGCCATCTAGTCCCAAGCTAAGCAGAGCTTGTACTATGGGGTCTAGACAACTGATATAAATACACATATACTTTTTTTTGTAAATAAATACTAATTATATATAGAAACACCCAGACCAAATCAAACATTAAATGTTCAAGCACACAAATGTTTGACTTGAGCGGGATCGAACCCGCGACCTTTGGAATAGCAGTCCGTTACACAAACCACTACGCCATCCGATCGTCGAATGGCGTAGTGGTTTGTGTGTAATTACTTTTACTCGAACCCACGACCTTTGGAATGGCAGTCCGTTACACAAACCACTACGCCATCCGATCGTCGAATGGCGTAGTGGTTTGTGTGTAATTACTTTTACTCGAACCCACGACCTTTGGAATAGCAGTCCGTTACACAAACCACTACGCCATCCGATCGTCGAATGGAGTAGTGGTTTGTGTGTAATTACTTTTACTCGAACCCACGACCTTTGGAATAGCAGTCCGTTACACAAACCACTACGCCATCCGATCGTCGAATGGCGTAGTGGTTTGTGTGTAATTACTTTTACTCGAACCCACGACCTCTAGAGCAATCATGATCGCCGATAGGCCAGTCAGTTAAGCCAATCTAGGTATAACACCTTCGTTAACAAAACGTTATCGATTCAAATCGATTACCGTAACCAGTTCCGAATGATTGGCTGCATATGCAGTAACAAGTTAATTATATAATTGCAATCATCGCAAATCCATTACCAAGTGTTCTTCGTGAAGGTCTGTGAGGCTTTAAACATTAATGCCAAAATGTACTGCACGTTTTTCCTTTATAGTTGTATTGTTTATTCATTCATGTAATAGTAAGAATGGATGCAGGTATTACGAACAATGACTATCGGAAATATATCCTGAATGATGGTACGGTACCTATACCAACCCGTCTGGCCAGCGTGGTATAGTAGGCCAAAACCTCCTTTCTAAGGAGAGGCCTATGTCCAGCAGTGGACTAGTAAAGGCTGTTGATGTGATGTGTGATGTGATGATGGTACGGTGATGATCAGGTATGCCATTATTATTACTGGTTGTTTTCGTCTTGCGAACGGTGATAATAACAAAGAACGATAAATAGGAGACAGTGGAGGATATCAACAACCTGCTCTTAAATACAATTTTACCAAACTAATACACTATTTGTATGATAAGTTCTACACAAAAAAAAATCTTATTCGCAAATCACTAACAATTACAGCAACTGATAAATTCGACTTAGAAATTATCAAAAAAGAGAATATTTTTTTAAAAAAGATTCGTTATTTTGAGAGGATTAAGATGACCAGAGTTCGTGTGGTGACGGATTAGGAATACAGAGTGTCACCACCCCTATTCATCCCGTGGGTGTCGTAAGAGCCGACTAAGGGAGAAAACTACGCAGAACAACAGCACTGCAGAGAGAGAAAAACTTGACACAAACCCTATACCAACCCGTCTGGCCAGCGTGGTACCGTGGTAAAACCTACTTTCTAAGGAGAGGCATATGTCCAGCAGTGGACTATTAACGGCTGTTGATCTGATGATGAAATGTCCAAATTTTTTCAGAGAAATTTTGCTAAAATAGTAAAACATTTGGTGATTGACATGAAAGTTAATAACCCATTGCTTAGAAACATACTGTGCCACACCAGGAAATGTATTCTGAATTGTATTTTCTTTTCCTAAATCATTTTTTTCAAACTTAAGCAACTGTTTCTTAGTTAAACAATAACACGCACCAAAAATTAGACAATAATATTCCCAGTCCAATAACCATATACTTCTAACTATATGCTACTTAAACGAGATAATAAAAATAATAATAATATTCTACCACATACACACAACGCCATCTAGGTCCCAAACTAAGCAGAGCTTGTACTATGGGTACTAGACAACTGATATAAATACATATATACTTTTTTTTTTGTAAATACATACATATTATACATAGAGACACCCAGACCTAATCAAACATCAAATGTTCATGCACACAAATGTTTGACTCGAGCGGGAATCGAACCCGCGACCTTTTGAATAGCAGTCCGTTACACAAACCACTACGCCATCCAGTCGTCAAATCTATACTAATATTATAAAGCTGAAGAGTTTGTTTGTTTGTTTGTTTGTTTGTTTGTTTGTTTGAACGCGCTAATCTCAGAAACTACTGGTCCGATTTGAAAAATTCTTTCAGTGTTAGATAGCCCATTTATCGAGGAAGGCTATAGGCTATATATCATCACGCTAAGAGCAATAGGAGCGGAGCACCAATGAAGAATGTTTCAAAAACGGAGTAAATTTATTACTATTGAGAGACGCAGACGAAGTTGCGCGGGTCAGCTAGTAATAGATAATCTAACGGTCGGTCCTTTACATCAAGCAATGAATCATTTCCAACAAAACCCGCTCCACTTCCTGCCTGATTCACCAGACAACTAGGTCTTCTCTCATTCACCATCTATTCAACTCTTCAATCGTTTCTGAAATTAGCCTGTTTTAAAACCACAAGTGTCGAATAGGGCAACCATTTGTGGCTGTGTTGTCTGTGTTGATTTCCCACGGCTGTGGAGTTGCGCGTTTCCGCGTAACTTTGTACCACAGTATATGAAGATAAATATCTGTCTGCCGTGACCTTCTTGTCTGCTACCTTCCGGATTATGAGAATCTAGTTGAACATTTAATTGGAACATTTGTCTGAACTATAAGTGTTACAGTGAAGGTTGACATTCTTGTTTTTGTTATGCGTGCTTCGGAAAATATAACAATAGCAATTATAGAAGCCGAAACCTAAATGCGTTTACTGGGGCAGGAAGCGTTTGTTCCGTTTTAAGTAATAACTTGAATTTTTATAAGTATTACTCCCATGATTGTTTCTTTTTTCGTGTTTCTAACTTTGAAAATAACAAACTTCCATACAACCTGTTCAATTCTGAAAGCTAGCATGACAAAACACAAGTTGGTTATAAACTCTGCAGAACACCTTCGTCTCACTAACCGCCGTGTTTGTCGAATACCAGTTCCTAACCTGAAGACACTTTTGTAAAGCATTTGTCTATCTTTCTTCTTCCGCATATCTTCAAACAGGGGTGTAGATAATTTTTGTACTTTTTTTTATATATAAAGATAACTCCCACACTAGGAATATATCCTGTGTCGCGGGGGACTTAACAAACATACATTAAACGGACACAAAGAACACCCAGACTCAGAACAACAATTTGTGAATCACACAAAGTGTTGTCCCATGAGGGGATCGGACCTACAACACTCAGCGTAGTAGGAAGCGGCGAGGTGACCGCTTAAACCACTACGCCATCCGTGCAGTCTATAATTACTAATTACCACAAATCATAAACCTACCAACAACAAAAATCAAACCTATCATAGAGAACTGGCTCGTGTGCTCAACTATCAGGACACAGAAAATCTAATTCAAACTGTTAGCTGATACCCCCCACCCCTCTCTTTATCTTCCATTCCTCCAAAATCACATGGTAAATCACACAAACTTTTTACACTACTACATTAAATTATTCACATGGCACACACTCACAAACACATTGCCTAGTTATTTTTTTGTATTCCTGAAAAACATTAAAATCCGTAAGACTTTTGATCTTGCATTAGAATAAATAAGTAACTACACTCTACATAATATAATGATATGGTCCCTATTGTACTTGATGAGCCGATAGTGAGGTGTGAAACTCTATGATAAATCTATCTTTGGCTTCTGCGATACAAGCCTTGAGCTTAGTGCTGCGGCAAAATTTTATTGTTCACCTTTTTGAAATAAATTTATTCTTAGTCTTCTTATTCTAACCGTTCATCGTTTATTTTACCACCTTAAGGGTGAAAGGTTTCTTAGTAGGTGCCTATAACACATAAACCATCAGCTGCCATAACTT